TTGAAGTATCTGCATTCCTAAAATGCTATGGGAAGGGAGGAAAATAGGCCTGCGACATAGGAAGTGGTGAAGGAAGTAGTAAATGCGAGTTGTTTGGAGTGTGGGATCTGTTTATGACCAATAAATTAAGGTATTTGCAAACGCAATAATGCTAAGGGAAGGGAGGGAAACAGGTCCGTGACGTAGGAAGTGGTGAAGGAGGTAGTAAAGGCGAGCAGTCTGGAGTGTGGCAACCTTTTAAAACAATTAGATTAAGGTATCTGCAATCCTAAAATGCTAAAGGGAAGGGAGGGAAACAGGTCCGTGAGTAGGAAGTGGAGAAGGAAGTATAGTAAAGGCGAGCAGTTCGGAGTGTAGGAACTGTTTATGATGATTAGATTAAGAAATCTGCAATCCTAAAATGCTATGGGGAGGGAGAAAAACAGGTCCAAGACGTAGGAAGTGGTGAAGGAAGTAGTGAAGGAAGTAGTCAAGGTGAGCTGTCTGGAGATTGGGAACTGTTTATGACGACTAGATTAAGGAATCTGCAATCCTAAAATGCTATAGGAAAAGAGGGAAACCGGTCCGCGACGTAAGAAGAGGTGAAGGAAGTAGTAAGGTGAGTGTGGGAGCTGGAAACCGTTTGTAGCAGTTGGATTAATGTATCTGCAATGCTGAAATGCTACGAGAAGGAATGGAAGCATGCCCACGACATAGGAAATGGTGAAATAAGTAGTAAAGGCTAGCAGTGCTGAGTGTGGGGAATGTATGTGGTAATTAGATTAACGTATCTAAAATACTAAAATGCTATGGAAAGTGATGAAAACAGGTCCACGACGTAGGAAGTAGCTTATGAAGTAGTAAAGTGTGAGCATAGCGTGAGAACCGTCTTTATCAGTTAGATTAATGTATATTTAATCCTAAAATGCTATGAGAAGGGAAGGAAACATACCCCACGACGTAGGAAGTGGTGAAGGAAGTAGTAAAGTCCGGCAGTGCAGAGTGGGGGAACCGATTGGGCAGTTAGATAAATGTGTCTGTAATACTTAAATGCTATGAGAAGGGAAGGAAACAGGTCTATGACGTGGGAAATGGTGAAGGAAGTAGTAAGGCTAGCAGTGCGGAGTGTGGGAACTGTCTTTGGCAATTACATTAATGTATCTGCGATCCTATAATGCTGTGGGAAGAGAGGGAAACAGGTCCACGACGTAGGGGGTGGTGAAGGAAGTAGTAAAGGTAAGCAGTGTTGAGTGTGGGAATGGATTAATGTATCTGCAATGTTAAAATGCTATTGGAAGAGATTGGAGACTGTAGGTTAAAATGATTATGAAGCAGGAATCGTTACATATTTTCGATACATGCAATCGTTTACAATCGAAGTTTACAGCTGAGTTGACAACAGCGGATTTTTACTCCATAGAGGCTAAAAACTATTTTTACTCCCTAAAGAGTAAAAATACTACTTTAGACCCTCAACGCATGCATAAAAACGACAATATAATATGAACCCTTGATGACTCCGCTCAATTTTGTGGATGCCTCTGCGAACGCTACCTAGTTTTATTGTCATTGCAAACTGACTACCATGATAAAATAAGTCTGTCCCTCGATTTGGCGTCACGACCATTTGGGGAAAATCTTCTACTTTGGAGCACGACAGTGGCAAGCCTGGCGTCGATGGAGTCAGTTGGTTTTAGAGACTAGTTCGGGGTGTACGTCAGGATTGTAGTGCCGGTCGTTTCGAGTTGAAAGGAGGAATTACAAGATTAATAAAGGAAAGATTGTGTTTTTTGTAATTTTAGTGTGTCCATGACCGTACATAGTCATTCGATGAAGTAGACATGGTGTTAATTTTTGTTTATAAGATATTTCAATTGATAGATTAATCTAGAAGTCCACTTTGTATCCTCGAACATGAGGTGCAGGGCAACCGCCAGAACAGAGCCAAATAACACGTAATTTCACGACCAAAGTTTCACGACCATCGCGGGTTTTTTCACGACCAATCTAGCCTTATGGATTATAGTGTGTTTGGTCGTGACAATAACTTTAATATAATTGTAAATTGAACAGTTTAGTTCAATTGAAACACATATTTTTATTATAACTAACAGTATAATTGAAGGATTGTTTAGAAAGATTTAGATTATTTCAGAAAATTCACGACCGTACCGCTTGTCCCTGACCATCACGTTTATGATTTCTATCATAAATTAATTTAAAAAATTAAAATATCGTCATATTTTAATGTTTTATACAAAAAAGAAGCACACCTCTATACAAACATAAAGATTTTTCGGGTCTCGGGTAAGTTTTTTCGGAGTTATACAAACTTAAAAAGACATTTAATGTTTTTTTTTCAATTTTTTGAGTTTTTTATTTTTTTCTAGAAAGACCAAATATACCAAAAGCTCAATGACCTTTTTATTGTATAATGGTCATAAAATTAAATTAGTTTATAGCAAAACATAGTTCTAAAAATAATATTAACTATTTTTAATTTTCATTTAAACGTCTGTTATGGTCGTGACAGGATTTTGTGTTTTTCCACTAAAGATGCTCTTTTAAAAAAAACTACCAAAGATATTGCGTTACCATGGACATTTTATGAAACTTAAAATGTTAATGAAATAAAAATAATAATAAAATTTTTGAAAAAAGGGGGAAACAATTTGCAAAGTGTTTTTCCTGAAAACGTACGTTTTTAAATTTTCACTCATATAGTAGTGATAACTTTAATGGCAAATATATTAGGGTAAAAGGCCATACATTTCGTAACACATCACCTTGTGTCATCGTTATATTATAATTATATTCTCCACTGAAGTTGTTTTTAAATATATGGAATTGTGATTTATTTACTGATTACCATTAACCTTTGGTATTTCAATCCTAGCATAAATATAGTTCTTTCAAAGAGTCGTAATTATAACCATAATAAGAATCCACTACAAAAGATACACCTTGGGTGCAACACTAAGTTTAGTGTGGTAGTGTGCAAGGTAGTCAGTGTAGTCTTAAGATTGTTTTCAGCCTTGGAAGAACTAAACACTACCAAAAGAACGTCCCCTAAGGACTTCTGGGTGTAATTTTATTCCACAGGGCCCACTAAATTTTTATTTAACATCAAGCTTCCACTGCCAACACTCTGTTGTAATATTTTTGTTCACTTAGTTCTTCCAACCCAGGGGCAACCAATTTGTAAAGAACCAGTCAGTCGAGAGGTATTTGAGAGTATTTACGAGTAAAAATATATTTCAATATTTATATATTAAATATCTTGTTAGAAATCCGTTTTTTTCTTTACACTTTTACTTAGTACTGAATCATTTAATCAATACAAATAAAATCTTAAATGAACTTATTACATTACTACATTATGACTATTTTGGTAACTAAGTGCCTTCTTGTGTCAAGTTTTGCTAATGACGTAGTCGAGTTCAGTATGGATTTTAGAATTTTAGTACTGTTTATAAATACTTGGATATATATCATTTTTGATATTACATAAATTACATCAATGGACAAAACTATTGTCAAACGTATGTTTCCGATCTTTGGGAAGAATATTTTAATTTTTCTTGCAATAAAAAATCATGCTTGGGTTACTTTTTAACAGAAAAGTTGCATTAACTTTTGAAACATAATGTTTACAGAAATGGGGGTTGCACTGTTTTGTAGTTCTTGTCCTGTGACACTGACCGCTACATGACAAGATCGTTTTATTTGGCTAAATGAAGGCGTAAACAAAGAAATAATAAGAAACAAATTGTAAACAAAACATGACCTCTATAATCTACATTGCACCGTACAGAAATAAAACTAAAATTTGGGCTTAAGCTGCTCCATAAGTATGACAAATCTATTAAACATGTTTTGATTATAGTTATAGATCAAACATTAAGTCCCTTAGAAGACTTGTCATTCTTGTTGAAAAGCTGAAGCCAATTTTATTGCTATTCTATGCCAACTGTAGAGGTTGTGTTTTTTTTACAATATGTTTCTTAATATTGTTATTTCAGTTATTTAAAACCTAATTTAACCAAATAAAACTATCTAATCAAAAAAAAATAACTGGTCTCCTAGTTATATAACCAAACAGTAAAGCACAAATCATAAAATTACCCTAATATAATAGAAACAAGATTTCGTTTACACTAGCGATCAGTGTCGACGTACATGAAATAGACACGAAAAACAAGCTTCACAATCAACAATGGGAAGAGAAGTCTACTTATGTTGCATAGTCTACGGTTTTATCTATGAAAAAGTATTTTTACACCGGTATTACACAATATTACAAAATAAATATTACCTATACAATAGTTATCATGCATAGCATAAATAAGCAACACGAGCAATATCAAACTTATGATAATATATTTCAGCTTACATAATTAAAGTAAAACAGCAGATACAACAAATTATTCTATTATTCAACAAAAACCATGTAATATATACATCTATTACATATGTCGTCCAGGAGTAAAAAAAAACTTGAAATACTTTTGGTTTTGCTACGTTGGCTGCACTTAACGCGACTTCTTATTGCCGAGTAGCGGCTGCTAGTCGATACGATAATTTGAGGACCATCGCACGATAATTTTTTTGTCTACTCAGGATCGATCAGCTGTCCCATCCGCTATGACGTAATTCCCGCGCGTTATAAGCTATGCCACGTTTTTAAAATTATAAGCTATAGAACAAACGAGATTTTATAAGCTGCAGCACATTTGAGCTATGCCATTATAAGTTATGCCACATTTTAAGAAAACCGTTATAAGCTATGCCTCATTTCTACGATTATAAGCTATGGAACAATTTAAATTTTCCATTATAAGCTATGCCACATTTTCAAGATTATAAGCTATGCAACAAATTCGCAATTATAAGCTATGACATTATAAGCTATGACATCGTACCCAAAGAAGATGAGGTTATGGGGATTTCATATGGTGACGATACACCACAATCAACTGTTTTCTGTTAAGTTGTCTAAACTGAAAGTTGCGTCAGATTTGCCTGTAATTTGGTCTGCGCGTGCAAATCATAGTTTTTTGTTCCGGAAGAAGTCTTTTGAGCTTTCTGCTGTGCTCGCTTGCGGTTCGGTCGTAATCGCTAAGGTCAATCTTTTTGACAAGGTAAGTTGCCTCCCATTACCATCGATTATGTTAAAATCACTTTATAATAATTCTATAAAAGGAGTTAACATTAACATTTTAGTTAATAGAATTTTTATTACGCAATCCAATCCATTTCCACGTATTTTTCTATGTCTTGAGGTAGGTAGGTGGGCCTACATGCAATTTAACCCTATTGATTTTTTTAGAAAGACTAAACAAATTTGGTGTAAAGCTTAACATTAGTTCATGGTCTTAAATTTTGTTGTTTCGTTATGATAAACCTGCAAAATAGTTATACGCAAAGTTAATTATTTGCCAAGGTCAAATGATGAAATTGGGGTCACAAGTTCACATGTTTAACCTTGACACATTTTTGCCCTATTTTACCTCCCAAAATATAAATAATTAATTAATTATTAATTTATTGGAAATTGCGATCTCAGGCTAATACCTTGTATTGTAACTTAGTTGCATAATCAACGAGCAAACTAAGAATAACAGGCCTATCTTGTTTTAAGAGGGATTTCAAGGTTAACTTAGTCTTTAAGCCGCGTTTACACCGGAGTTTCAAACAAAAAGTTGCAAACTTTTATTGCAAACAGCAGTTGCAAACAGTAGTTTCAAATAAATGTTTGCAATTTATATTTCATGATTTGTTTCCATGTTTTATGAAATTGTTTGAAATAATTTCGACCTTGATTATGACTCGCCTCGTTCTGGTTCCTCGGATCAGTCCTTCCAAGGATTTCAAGTGTAGAGGATGTTATTTTAGCCACGGCGGCGTGTGTCGTGTTGTCAAAGAAACGTAGGCCGAGACGATGCTGGGTGAACATAAATTAAAATTATTATTAATTTTTAAAGATTACAAGGACTTAATTATAACCCATTTAATTCACATGAGACGTTATTGTGATTTTTAAATTAGACGACCTTGTCATTTGAGGTTAGTGTTAATTCATTGACAATCAAACAGCATTTTTTCCGATTAATTTACTGAGTCGAGACACATGGTGGTGCGAGTGATAACGTGAGTGAGAGTGGAGGTGGCAGCGTAGGGGATGGTGGAGAAATCTTTCTGTTTCGTGTTTCAACGGCTCATATTGACCGAAACTATTGTTGCAAACAGAGAGTTTGCAACTCCCTTTGATCTTTACCGACTTCAAGTGGAAACAAAAATTTCTGTTGCAAACACTGAAAAACTGTTTGCAACAGCGAAATGTTTCGCCTAAAAATGTGCGTTTTTAGAGATGTTTGCAATTTCTGTTTGCAACTCGTGTTTCAAACTCCGGTGTAAACGCGGCTTTAAGAACTTACTTTTTTGGGTACAGTTTCGCAGAAAAACTACGATATATTATCTGATGAAGTATTAGTTTGATATAAATAACTTATCATATTGCATTATACTGGGTACTGGTACACTTCCATATCTGTTGGATCTAAAAAACCGAATGAGTAATAGGTATTGATTATTCGATTGTTTAATTCGATATATTGTTTGGTTAGTTAGGTTAGGTTAACCTTACCTAACTAACTAACCAAACGATATATCGAATAATCGATCGATATTTCCATTCGGTTGTTTGTGCCAGTGCCATCAGATATGGAAGTGTAGACCTACCCCATATACTTTTTATAAGATGTAGGCTAATTAAAGACTTAACGGTATCTATTGAATAACTTACTGGTTATTCAGTCATGTTTGTATATTTTCAGCCATAAGAATAAGCCTCTAACTCAACAGGGTCTTTTCAAGAAGACTCTTCACGGTGGTTACGTTATTTTGGTTTATTTGAATTTAGCCTGGTTTATTAACTTAGTTCATAAGTTAATAACAAGCGAGAAAAACCATTTATAATTTCAAAGAGAAAAATTTATAACTTAAAGATGTCAGTTTAATTCTTTTTGTGTTTACTTTTTTATGATTTTAGATAGGCTGAAAGTTTTATTTTTTAAATGGTAAGTTTTACTCTAGTACCTTGTTTGTGATTATCATAAGTTAAACTAGGCCCAGGCCTAAACTGAATGAAATTTAACTTAACCAAACGTAAACGTCACAGCGCTCTGTTAAAGAGTGGCAGACAACTCAATGTGAAAAGACCGATAACATAAATTCAATTTTTATATCAATGAAAATTTTATCGATATTTAAGTAGCTTATATCGAACCAATATTTCATTCTATTGTATTTGCATACCTATTTTATTTGTAACTGTAGGCCTTATGCCTTATTTAAGATTAGGGCTTACATAACTTAAAAAGCATTGCCAATCCTGCTTAGGTACCATCTATTATACTTGTTCCACTAAATTCATTAGAAAGATAAATTTATTCGATCATTAGGCCTAAACATCATACAATCATGCAATAGATCATGTCAATAATCAAGCTAACTTACAGCTATAAAAGGTTTTTAAAATAAGTTACATTGCTTAATAAATAATACAGGCAGGCTTACTCAATAATAGTCTATATGCATTATAAACGTGAGTATAAAAAATAAGTTAGATCACAGTTAAGCATAGCTTATAATATTTTGGCCCATGAAGACTAAGATATTAATAGGCCTACCTAGTTAAAATTACTTGCATACCAAAGTTAATACTTTATTTACTGGTTTGTACTAAGTTAGTAGGCCCTCTAATTACATGTTTAAAATGGAGATTAGCTTTGTTATAAATCAACGTAAACTTATTTGTTCCTAGCCCTGTTTTGATAGCGTTTCCATATCACCTATAGTACCATGATTGACCCAGAGGTGAATGAAATGAGTTGCGTTAATCAAAGCATCGGATTATTTCATTAACTGTGATTATTAACTAACTTAACCAGACTTTGCCTGCCACTCCTAACGCATATCTTTAATCACAGTTCATGAAGCTCTGCACTGTTCATGCATTAATGATTCACAATGATTCATGTTCATGGTTGTACAGTGAGCAAGCCCTGATTATAAACTAAAGTAAAATTATTTTACAGTCAAGTTTCCTCGCACTTGAAACAAAATGAGTGTACCGGCTGGAGATGCTGAGAAGGGAAAGAAGGTAACTTAATAATTCATAATAACTAAACTAGTTGTTAAATCAAGTAAAGATTCAATTTATAATTCAATTAAATGAGATAACAAAAATAAATTTTTTCATCGAGAAGTTATGGCAAATTTTATCTTGTCAAAATTTTATAAAAAATAATGGTTTCTAATGAAAATTAGCTTGCCTAAGTAAGTGTAATAGAAAATAATGATGATATTTTATGGAATATTCTTAGCATTATTTAAAAGTTAAAAAGCATTTTACCATCCACAATTGAACAAGCATAACTGCTTAATGATCTTTATTTCATCACCTTTTTTTTTATCAACCTATTGAAATGGGTTGACAATGACGTTTGCCCTTGTAATGTTATTTATTGACATGTATAAGAAATCTTGTGTGAAGGTCCAAGTTATCAATTTATTGCAGATGGCAGTCGATTTGTTTTTATCAAGTGATTTAGGCCTATCTGCCAATTTACTGTTTCTCATAGCTATTGACCTATTATTGTTATCATTCTTTTTAACATTGGCACAATTCACTATTGTACAATAATTATTGTTATGCCTCTAAGCATCTAGGGTACAGTAAATGAAAATACACAATATTGCTTATGTACAGTATTATATTATTGTACATTCTATTATTGTTATTTTTAGTGTGTCCCCCCAATTGTGAATGATATTGGTTTGTTACTGCTAGTTTTGATGTCCTGGTGTGTAGGTGTTTGTGCAAAAATGTGCGCAATGTCACACAGTCGAGAAGGGAGGAAAGCACAAGGTTGGACCTAACCTGAATGGCCTCATCGGCAGAAAGACAGGTCAAGCCGCTGGGTTCTCCTACACGGACGCCAACATCAGCAAAGGTCTGATCATTCTCCGCTACTCATATAATCATCTTAGAATTACCATAAAATATCTTAAACTGTTTAAAATAACAACATCACAAATATTTTATGAATACCAAGAGTTTTGTGATGTGTCTGATGATGCTGTTTAAAGGCCTCATGAAATCAAAAATTCATTACATATTATGTTTTTATTTTAAATTTGACTCAACCCAATATTACCAGTTCTTGAAGATCTTTAACTGTGATGACTCATGCCTATACAGTGCTGTTAGAGTTTTAAGAGTCCTTGGAGCCTAGACGTTCTAACTCATAAAACAATTAAAAAACTACCAAGCAAATTGCTAATCTGTATACTAAATATTTAAATTACAATCACTTTGGTATTTAAAAAAATATTTTGAAGTGGTAAATAATTCTTCAGCGGCTGTTTAAAAATAACAAAATTAACATTGCTCTTATGGCGGGCAAATCCAAGATGCCCGTTGGCACATCCAGCAAATACATCCAAAACAAGAAACGGCATTTTTAATCCCACAGTTCAACTTAATAGATATTTGTACATTATAATCACTTTGGTGTTTGAACAACTATTTTTGGATTATAATTCTTCAGCAGCTGTTTGAAATTATCCAAGACTGCTGCAAGCCTGCAAGGACTCTTAAATAAAGTTAATCAAAGAAACAGCTGTCATATAACCTGATATCTCGTAGTTTGTCTTAACAACTCTACTTTAACTGTAAAAAATGTGGTTTCCATAGCTCCAGTAGTTTATTTTTAGTTAAGTAGAAAAATGCCTGTAAAGTGCATGCCTAACTATGTTTTACTTACATACCAAGGAGATATTCAGAGTTAAAGTTACCTACAGTCTACAGAATCAGGTTTAGGTGAATTAAAGAACCCAATATCATTTGCATGACTATTCAAATAACTGCCCAAAGGTTTGATTCTATTTAAAAAATTAAATTAATACATTTGAGTACCGGTAATTGAACACTTTTACAGCAATATAAAATGTTTTTAAGAGTTTGTTGTCTTTGTTACCAATAAATTTGATGTTCGTTGCAGGTATCACCTGGAATAAGGACACATTATTTATTTACTTGGAGAACCCCAAGAAGTACATCCCCGGGACCAAGATGGTGTTCGCTGGAATCAAGAAGCCACAAGAGCGAGCTGATCTTATCGCCTACTTAGAGCAAGCTACAAAGTAGAAGAATAATAATTGAACATGTGTAGGAAAAGTTATACAGACATTCGTGTCAACCACAACCAGCAGGACTAATATTGAAGCTGTATTAGGATCTTATCATTTTGCTGTATTATATATATTTATTTTCTGTATAGTAAATTATTCTTTTATCTAAGGTGTGTTTAAATGTAAAACTATTCCAAAGAAATAGGGATGCAGTATTCCTACATACATTCTGTTAATGTTCCAAGTAAAAATTTAAACAAGTTTTTGACATAGAAGTAGAGGCAATGAAACTATTAATTCTCTGTTATTAAATAACTGCCACATTATTACATTATGATTTTCTATGAAAATTATGTGTTAATAAAATGTTACTCTGTTATTGTCAAACAAAACTGAGTCTCATTTAGTCCTGTCTTTTCAATTGAGTCTGATCCTCTTTATAATATGACATAAAAACTCTAAAATTGAAGCCCTAATACTCTATCTTATTTTGAATTAATCCCAATCTAGATTGTATTATTTGACTGATTCACTATGATTGTAATCCTAATATAAAATTTAATACTTAAGTTTACAGTGTTTACCCCACACCTAATGGCAATAGAGTTTTTACATACTTGCCAGTGATGATTAGGCTATGACAACATTTTCTAAATCAGCAATAATAAATACATATCAAACCGTTTTTAATTAGTGCCGAACATTTTAATATTTTATTCTTTAAATGAACACTGTGATAAGTTTGTTGTTTCATTTTACTAAATCGTTTACAACTTAATTGCTTTTATTGGGTAACTAATAAGCTGATTAAATTGTTGCAACTTATACAAGTCTTTGCACAAGTAAGAAAATGGAAATACCCTATTTATAACAATAGGAATATTAAGAGATTGTTGAGTTACATAAGCCAAGGTTAGTGAAATAAGTTGCATAATCGTAATAGTCTGTCATTATTGGTCTCTGTCTCTACTAATACAGAAGCAGGTTTTCCCTCTCATCTACTTATATAGAGTCTGGGGTCACATGAAGACTGTTGAGTTGTAAATAGCAATTTTAATAGTCCATTGAAAATATTTTCATCTCAATGGAATAGCACACTGACATTTCAGAACCATTCATTTATTTTTGCAGAAACTGTTTTGTAGCTTAATCAAATGTTAAATGAATTCCAAACTTGTATTGTGTTGAAAAATATTTATTTACATATCCTGGCTAAGGTAAAAAATTAAATTACCACATTTAAAAAATGTATGTGTCAACGTTTTGTTTGTACATGATCTCCTGTATGAAGTTCCGTAACACAGTGAGGCAAGCGGCCAACAGTTTGAATTATTTTGGGAATGCACTCCTCAAACTGGGTCACTCAAAGCGAGAACAGGAACTTTTGTCTGTTTTGTGTGTTGTGTTTATTTAATCTTTTTTGTTTATTTTCCTGAAAAAACTTATCAAAAATAATTAACAGACATATTTATTTTATAGAGATAAATATTTGCCAACTAGTTATACCTTGACCTATAAGTCCTTGAGCTTGGCATTTTACACATTGATTGAAATGTTGCTTCATTTTTCACTTGTATCTAATTTCTTATCAGTAAGGAATATTTGTTCAAGCCAATCAACAATCAAGTTTCCACATATAAGTAAAAGCTAGATGATATGTAGTGAAGATATTTATTTGCAAACACGTTGTGGTAGGTAGGCCTACCTCACAATTGATCAAGGTTGACACAGGAAATGTTCATGTTGTACAAAGGTTGTGTAGATATTGAAGATCAAACCTGCTCTCTCCATTCTGGTTATAGTGAAAATATGTGACAATCCTAAGAAGAAGAAGCAAGTGTTTAGGCTGCCGCAAATGTGGTACATTCTTCACATAAAATGTACAATACAGCAGAGAGCCTTATTACCCGAGGTAGCCTTGCGATGTCGCCAGTGACAGTAGCTGGCGACGCACTTGCTACCATACCTAGTAGCCAGAATTTGTCTAGTTTTATAGCCAGTGGCGACCATTGTGATGGGGCTTGGTAGCCAAAGACTGGCTACCTTCGTGTAATAACATCCATAAGAATTAATGTCCCATGACAAGCTGAGTAGCCAGTTCGGTAGCTGGCGACGTTGCCCGGCTACCTCGTGTAAGCTACAGTGTCAGTCAATGTGATCAGTCCATACCAGTCTGTTGACTCTAGGACTACGTAAAACTAAAAATTATGGACGGAGCAATCTTATTTGGAACTAGCAATCTGCCCGTTCTATGGGTGTACTCAGGTGAAAACTTAATTTAATTTATAACAGTTGGTTAGCATATCAAGTTAAAAATTTCTTTCCAAATATGCAGGATAAACCATTATACACGTAGCCCAACTGTTGTAATAGAATAGAAAATAAATAACTCTCTAAATTAATTATTTTATGTTAATTTATAAGATTCGAAGTATTAAATATTAAGTAGGGCCTACCTATCTTCTGGACATCTTACAAACAAAAGCTCTTTTAAAACAATATTTAGGCTCTTTCAAGTATTTTATAGCTTTTCGGGAGCTGATCTTATTCATTAGTGTTTTAAAAAGTAGTTAAAGTTCTCCAAAGAAATTTCCGGACTTGCAGCCACATGGAGTTGCCCATGTAAAAATGCAGGAAAGGTAATATCCAGCTGGTAATATTATACCTTAGCTATGAACTGGCCTTGAGTATTAGTGCCATAGCTAAAGCTGAAATTACCAAACATTGAGTTCTTTGAATTTAGAATGGCAGCACTTAGTCTAATAGATTTGAATTTAATTTGGGTATCAGAGTTCGTTGCTTAGGCTTACTTGAAGAACAAGTCAAAACCTTACAGCCTCTAATGCTGTTACACAAACATTTCACATGTAACGTTCCATTACGGTACTCGATCAATTTGATAGTATGTTAACATTTCTTATCAACACTACCACTGATTTTTGTGTAATGTGGGGGCAGTTCACTTAGACAACAGACAATTTAAAATATTGGTACAAACTATTTAATATTTTTCCTACCTAACAATGTACATGTTCTCTCACTGATTTGAGAGAGCAAAGTGGCCAATTCGCTCACCAGTGAGACAATGTTAACATTGTCTCACTCTAATTACTTTGTCTCACTCCAGATTTGCAACGTGAAGGCACGAAATAGTGAGCGCGTAACATGAAGAAAAAGTCGTATGCGCGCGAAGTACGTTGGCAGCACTGGCTGTAAATCAGCTGGTCAGCTGTTGTACTGTTGTATCATTAAATGTCACATTAAAAGTTCACTTCTGTGTAAAAATATGTTACGTTTCTTTACCAATTTATTTGTTTTATGGTAACTGTAGGAAAAATATAATGTGGAACTCGATTGCAAAGTGCAATTGCCTCACTAGTTGCACAAATAACTATTGTTGGATATCAGTTTTTTTCCTCATCATCTGATATTCCAGCAAAACTTTCGCAAGTCATGGGATAATACAATATGTTCGATTTTAAGCAATCGACAAACTCTTGGGGTCTTAAAAGTTAAACAGCCTGTCAAAGTTCAACATGTAAGTTCTCTAATAGTTTTTAGATGGTTTGACTCATCACTGTTCACTGATACACCGGATACTGAGGATTCATTCACTCAGATGGGCTTACTTTAACTAGCGTCTCGGGGGGGCTGGTCAAAAACCAATGAGAACCTCTTCTGTGAAGGAGGGGGGAATTGTGGGAGAGGCCCTCACGTCGATTTAAGGAAAACTGTAAAATAAATTTTTTAATTATAAAATTAAAAAACGAATGAAGGTTTACTAATCGAAAAAATAGTTCATTCTGGTCATAAAATAAAATTATAAATGCCTCAAATTCTAACAAAAGATGTAGGCCTACTTAAGACGTAATCACATTCTAAGCGTCGTTGACAAAAAGTTAGTGTCACCGTTGGGATTCGATCTGGTTACCTCTTGGACATCAACCAAGTACTCTAAACACTACACCACGCACACAGATGGCTGTACTTTGTATCGTTGCGGTAATGGTGTTCCCCCAAGAGAGGAGAGTGACATCGCGCCCCCCACCCCTTCGCAAAAGAGGTTCTCATCGGTTTTTGACCAGGTCCCTGAGACACTAAAGCTTACTTTATACTCTCTGTTACACTTCACAATAAAAAACCTGAAATTAAACTAATTTACCTAACCCGCCATGTTAAACTTCCCTATCCCAAGCGTGATGTATACAACTTCCTTACTTCTCGAGTGATGTAAAGTTGGAAAAAACTCACTCGGTGATGTAATGAAACCCATTTAAATAACATTGAGTGGATAACTTAAAAAATATACCTCTATGGAGCCAACGACCTTCAACGCTAGAAATCAGCTGTGTGTTTGAATTTTATTGTTATGCTTTGAAGAATTTTCCTAACCTAGCTTTTGTTTGTAAATGAACGTTACTGTTAGAAGATGAGTGAAATTGATAATGAAGCATATTGCTCGTAACCTCCTGAATATTGTCGGGTCAGGTAAAATCTTGTACGTTACACGTTACGCAAGAGCGTGTTTACATCACTTCGGTGAATTATGCAACTCGCCTTCGCTCGTTGCACAACATTCACCTGCGTGATGTAAAAACGCTCTTACTACACTTGTAATGTAAATAGCTATAAAACCCTTTGCAACTTGTATCCTTGGGTTCGTCATGTTAATGTTTAACCCAGTAGAAGCAATGACTATACACAGAATAGACTTCCCATGTAATGTATTTAATTTGAATTTTGAATTTGAATGTAAAAATTTGAAAAAAAACGTGGTGCTATCTCTTGAGATGGTCTACCAACTAATGGCAATATTCTGTGTTAACCCTTCCAGGACTATGGACATCCGTCAATCTTTGTTTACTTTCCGGGCTGAAAACAGATATATCTGTCCCGAGAAATTTCTTTTCTGGGCCAAAGACGGATAGATATCTCCGTCCAAAAAACAAATTGATATACAATGCTTACAATACGGTAATAAACATTACACTGCATTATAAATGGGTTATTTTGTTTTTGTGGTTGGCAATAATAATTGCCGCAGCTGTTTCGGCTATTTTGCACCATTGAGTGTGCGTAAGTAAATATTGCTGTCACTTCACACATGGGTTGTTAGTGAGTGATGTTTACATTTTGTGTTTTGTACTTTATTTTTATGTTATTGAGCTT